CGAAGTAATCTGTTCTATGGTACTAAAGGTACTAAAGGTATCACACCTCAGCATGTCTGTACCTGGGTGAAGGATGGTGTGCATCAGTAATGTTCTCTTAGTGCCAATGCTCGTAGTTTTGGCCGAAAAAACTACAAAATAGTATGATCCAGTGATGGGTATGAATAAAATCAGTTTTGGTGCGTCCTTTGATGGAAGATCCGATGGTGAGTTTGCCCTTGCCACTGCAGCGGAATGTGAAAACGTTCAAACAGCGGAACACTCGCCTTCAGAGATGGTGTAACAAATGCAGCTACAGAAGTGTGGCAACAGATCCATGTTGAAACGGATGGCCAAGTGCTGGTTAGTATGTAGAAGTCTCCGAAGAAATAGGGGTTAGAAATCATCATGATGCAGAGACCGAGGTTTCAACCTCCTTTTCAGAAAAAAAACATGGGCATTCTTCAGATTGATGAGCACATTTTATCCGGTTCTTAGGTTTTGAAATGTCTTACACCATGAGGGAGGCGAACTTAGCGGCATAGTTATGTGCTAACCATCATGTGATTGTAGTTCGACCGTGTGATAACACCTCCAGCCTTCCTTTTAGGGTGTACTAGATAATACCCTGCACGTTGGCGCAGGATATTATTGTGCGACAAAGAGCTCAAAAGAGACGGAGGCAAAGTCAGAATAAAGAGAGTTAGAAAATCCAGTTTTGTAGGTGATCTTAGTATTTAATTAGATGATAAAAAAAGTACTTTGTTCATCTCAGTGGAAAGGAGACCATGCAACTAAAAAATTATTAGAGCATAATTTATTAAAATGAGAACACTAATATAGAGAGAAGATAAAGAAAGGAAACATCATAACCAACAGGGCTTCAGACAAAATATATGCTGAGATACTACCGCAATATGAATTGCTTGTTTGCACCTTCGTAAAGAAAATAGTATTTTAGAGCAATTTCACAGACACACACACACACACACACACACACACACACACACACACACACACACACACACACACACATCTTTATTGCATAATAAATTCAGAGAATTTTTTGAATTGTTTTGGCGCCTGACACGTTACACAACTCCACCAGAGAAATAACATCATAATGGTTCACTAAAACTTGTCGACATAGGAGCTAGCATGAAAGAAAGTTTGTAATTTGAACGATTTGCATAAGTTGTTTCTGTTCGAGAAAAAGTCAATCCCACTCCTCCTGTGAGCCCCTCCCATTCAGCCTACATGTCAAGCAGGGAGTTGCCCTTGACCTTCCTCAAAAGGCAGTGGTTTTCGGTTTTCTAGCGACTGTCAAAAGAAAATGGCATACTACTCCCATGCATTGGTCTAGCAGGAAACATTCCCAATTTAAACCTGAGATGGACAGCTTGAAATATACAAATATGAACTTTGAGCTAACAACTAAGATGTTGGCAATGTCGCAAGAGACTCAAGGATGACGTGACTACTGACTAGAGTGTGCCTAAGCAAGTTTCGTACAAAAACTAATTTGCTATGAACTCTTTGGACGTTGACGTGGAATGATTTTTTTTCTAATTGAAAATCCATGCACATTAATTGTTGTGGTACACTTGTACAAAGGACTTGAACGATTGCTCTAACTGAATCCCTCATGAGCTCGAGCCAATGATCATACACATGCAAATCATATACTCGTACAATGTGCACGACGAAGAGATCTCTGTATATCCGGAACCGTTGTCTAAAAAGGTTCTACGAATACACCAGACTGTCTGTAAATAATTCATGACAAGTTTGGACGTCCTTCTGCCCTATGGCAAAAAAATGCAACCACGGCCTGGTTGAGAACCACGTCTCTCATTCTCCTTTACATCTCAATTGATCACTGCCATCGGCAACTTCCTATTCCTCACACGAGGAGTCGTTGAAAAACTCTTCCACAATCCTCTTCATCTGTGGATTGCGTCGGAGTTAAATATGAGCTTTGTTGCCAACGAATTTGCTGCATCAATTGAGGAAAAAAACAAAAAAAGGGGGGAAATAGTTCTGGAATAATGTCTTGAGCACCTTATGGCATGCGGCAACCGACGCATGATGCACGGGGGAGGTCACGGAGGACAAAGGGGAGGCATGGAGGAGGCATGGACGCGTGACGAGTCAATTCCAAGATCGCCTTCACCGCGGCAACGGGGCCCACCACATATTGGCTCGGTTGGCAGAGGTGGCCAGCATGGGGTGGCGAATGGCGAGGAGGAGGCCGAGAGCTTGGGCATACATCTCCAGGCATACGTACACATCATCTATAGACACCGTTAAGAATAGAACTATAGTGGGGCGTCTGCTGTAAACACTCCAACCGCTTGTAAACAATGGGCCCATATATATGCGATCTATCAGCCCACGACAGCGACGAAAGCAGCAGTGTATAAGCAGCGATTTACTTGGGAGTGGACCGTCAATAATTCTACAGACAGGCTCCAGCGTTTCTCCCTTTCTCTCTCCCCCACATCATTTATTTTTGAGTAATGCTACACGTACAAACGAGTTACAAGTTTTTACAAAGAGGGTTAATTTGATTGGTCAATAGGTGAGGATGTGACCCATCCCCCTAAAAATCAGAAGAGGGGCAAGTTTATGATTGGTTAGTACATGAAAAAAGTCCTAATCAGCGTGTAATTATGTTTATCATTATTGCTTATTTTCCTATGTGGCTTGTATTACAGCCGGCTGACTAGATGCCGTTGTACATGCCCTTACAAGATGAACGGGCGTGATGGGTGTCATGGCGTCGACAGTGGGTCGGAGATGCCGTTGAGGACGAGTTGGGCAGCAACAGGCCTCGACAGCGGTTTATTGGCGGGTTGCGGTTGAAAATATAGCGTGCCACAAAATGCTCGGCGTCAAGACGGGGCATGGAGAAGACAAACTCTGTGGAAAATGCATAGAGTACAATGCATTTGCTTCACATGAACAATGTTAAGTACTCATTCTTGATCGGTTAGGATTATATTTCAACAAACAAGAGCCGATTTCACTTGACCTTGAGATTAAATTAAGCCTCAGCCTGAGCTGATTTCTCCATGTAGAGCTCGACGATCTTCTCCTGGGAGAAATCCGTGAAGTACCCCTCGCCGACGGCGAGCCCTTCCTCACCCGCGAGCCGCTCCACCATGCCCTGCACCTCCTCGGCGCCCACGCTCCCGAGGTCGAGCAGGTTGCACGCGACCTCGGCGCCGCCGTCGCCGTGCGCGAGCCCCATCGCCTGCACGGACCGGAGCCCGCCGCCGCGCTCGCTGACCCGGCGCGCGACCCGCCGCACGGCCTCCACGTCGGCGGTGCGCACCGGGACGTTGTAGTTGTCCACCCAGGCCGTCGCCCCGAGCACCAGCACGCCCTTGGACGCCGACGCCGCGTCCGGGCCGGCGTCGGGCGCGACTGGCAGCGCCGTCGTGTCGGCCGCGACCGGGAGCGGCCCGTGCCACTCGGCGCTGCTCTGGGGCTTGAAGTAGCCTAGCTGCCTCCTGATGGCCGCCAGCTTCCGGCCCTCCCGGTGCGCCGCGCCGTAGAGGTACGTCGGCACTGCGGACCGACACCGTCGTCGCAAGAAACGAATCTGAGCATCAGCACGCCGCACGGAGTGGCAAGCAGAGGGGAACAAGAACGAGAGACGGAGGAGACTGGTTTACCTCGGAGCCCGTCGCCGATGTCAGCGGCCACGGCGGCGGCGAGCGCGGCGACGTCGCGGAGGGCGGCCCCGGCGAGGGGGTGGAAGCAGACGTGGTCGACGGCGCCGAGCCGCGGGTGCGCGCCGGCGTGGGCGCCGAGGTCGATGGCCCCGAGCGCGGCCTCGACCATGCCGAACACGGCGCGCCGCAGCGGCGCGGCGGGCGCGACGGGGTCCGGGAGGCGGGAGACGAGCGTGTAGCCGACCCGGTTGTAGGCGTCGTCGGCGAAGGTGTTGACGAGGACTACGGCCGGGTGGTGCCGGCGCGCCGCCTGCTCGACGGCGCGCAGGGCCGCCGCGCTCCGGCCCTCGGAGACGTAGAGCTTGCAGCACGCCAGCATCGGCCTCAGCATCCTCCTCCTCTACGCGGCCGCCGCATCCAGATGCAACCACCAACCAAAAAGGAAACCAAAATTATTCTCGTACAAGGAGGAGAAGATGAGGCTGTGGACAGAGTTGGGCAGCGAGAGAGGTGAACAAGCGTCCATCGTCCCAGCCACAGAATAGGTTCTCAAAATTGCTCTCGCTGAATTACAAGAAAGTGCAGTCAGGAGCATTAATATCCATGAGAATGCAGCCATTACAACGATTGCAACAACAAGGCCTGTTCATGTTGCTCATCTCAACAAAAAAATTTATTTTTGAAACAATGTTGCTCATCTCAACATTGCTCAATTGCAATATGAAAAGGCACAATTACTACTGCAAATTGGCAAAACTTTGAATTACACATGACATCTTATCCATGAAAATGCAGCCAACAAAAAATGATTTTACAGAAGACCAAGCAAGTTCCAGAAGAACAGAACCATAAGGCCGAACACCAGCATTTGCGTTCGGCCCAGCAAACACTGTCCTAAATCAAAACTCTCAAAAACAGTGAAAACAGAGCTAGCAAAATTGTTCCCAATGACAAAATCTTCTGACCAGCGACATGAATAAGACAGTGGCACCGTGTGTTCAGTGTGTCTCTAAAACATAACAAGATCAATTATACAATACAAGATGCCGCCAACCGTCATGCCTCACTCTTGGGAGAAGAATACGTGCCAGGCGGCAGGGTGTAGCATTATTTCCCAGCTACAATAACTCGAAACCAAGATCTATGTGTTGCCATGCGAATTCCATGCAACCTAACTATATAACTTAAACCTGTGAATTCCAGGCAGCATCCTACTCTATCTTGTGGTGTGTGATGAGCTAAACCGCCCATGAAATGCTGGGCGGCTTGGCTCCTAAGACCGGCTATCCTGATGCACCAGCAGCCTTTTCCGCATCCTTGTCGTCCTCGCCCTTCTCTTCCTTCTCGAACTCCTCAAGAAGCATGCGCTGTTTCTGCGTCAAATTCCTGCAGGAAATATGTGTGAGAACTACCTGTGACGGCACAGGGCATTGTACACAAGTTTTGCAGGCAACTTACACAGGGATTTTGACATTGAAATGGACATATTGGTCTCCATATGAATACGAGTTTCTCGTCTTGATTCCTGCAGGACACGATGTTTATTATTATATAGGCAAAAGAAATGCATCAGTTATTCCGTTTTCCTATAATCATTATTAGTATCTGAAAATGTGATGCCATACATAAATCATTTATGTGGTCGTTCAAGCTGAATGTTCACCTAGATGCCAGCTAAAAACGAATCCTGGCATTTTCTTTCAGATCTTACTCCTGGCAATCTAATATACAGGAAGGCAAAAGGAGACAATTTTGGAGGTGCTACAAACTTTGTCTCTTCGTTGCTTATTCATATCCTTATTGCTTCACTTGAAGACTTAAACCCAGATACAGTTTGGCAAATGCCTACTTTTCAATTGTTCCGAAGAAAAGAGTAGATCTTAGCAACTAGTAGTAGTTATACCTAGCAAACACAAGATGTACTTCAACATAAAAGCACCAACTATAAACTATGTCACCGTATATGCACCTAGATAAAATGAACCACGAGCAAAAGATAAACAGTCCAATGCAATTTACCTTTTCCTCTCAGAACAACCTTCTGACCAGGTTGAGTACCAGGCTTAACCTACAACAAGAAGGTACATGAGACCGATGGATAGTTTGCCACTTAATAAACAACTAAAACCTTGCACAATTAAGATAGACCTTTTTGGGCATACCTTTAGAACAACATCTCCAGCGAGAGTTGGCACTTGAACAGTACCTCCCAGAATTGCCTATAAAATGACATGAATTAATGTCTCATGAGAACAATTATACAACCTCACATTTCAAGTGCCACTGCAATGTCACAAGTGACTCGGCACAGAACTACTCGTAACATGAGCTGTTGTGATTAATGCGAGGAAGGATTGGTACTTGCTCATTCAAAGGACATGGGGAAGCTAATAGCATTAGTATCCTATAAGATCAAATTCAGCCAACACGATCAGGATTCGTATTCCTATCAATCAGTGGCTTAGAACAGAGCTTTCATGCTAGCGCACAGAGGAACAATTTCGAAGAAGGGGGATCAAGTTTACCACTTTCCTTTAACTGTCCCCTGACAAATAAAAATGGTATACCACACAGAGACTGGAACATGCAACAATTACCTGAGTCACATTTAAGACAGCATCTACATGGATATCACCTTTCTCTCTCCGGAATACTGGATCCTCACGAACCTGGAACGAGAATAGCATTACAAAGGTCAAGTGCCCATCTTCAGCCATCAGCTGACAACAGAAATTCCAAACGAGAAGACGACTGACCTTAATGGCTACATAAAGGTCACCAGCACGAAGACCGTCTGGATCTGCTTGACCTGATCTAAGCACTTTCATGACATCCTCATCATCCGTACCTGCACATGCAGAATCATGTCCAAAGACATATAGTAAACACAGAAGAACATCATGTGGGTACAAGCGATGTCAAAAACTTGGAAGCTTACCAGGTGCTATATCAATAGAGACTGTTTTTATTCCTGGCACAACCTTCTTCCCCCTGCACGACTTGCAGAAATCCTAACAACACAGGCATGGTAATCTTCAGCTCACATCAAGTAATTAGAAATACTCATTGTGCATAATGTACATTGCAGACAAATATGGCAAGACAAAGGGCTTCATAATCATCAGTCTTCACATTAACCAGTAAATGTATGATAGGAAGCAACATTCACATTATAAACAGTAATGTATGATAGGAAGATGCAGATGCACAGTCTCACATGACATTTATTCTAGTCACCTGGTTGGTAACAAATCAGTACACACTAAAAAGTACACAGATATTTGTTCACTATGATGTTGATGTAGATATTTGTAGGTACCAAAAAGTAAGCAGATATTTGCTCATTCCATTTATTCTGGTCATCTGGTTGAAAATAAATCAATATACATGTTAATAAGTACGCAGATATTTGTTCAAATAAGAAGCTTCTCTAGCCTAGAACCTTAACGAATGGTCAACTTTCCAAATGATTAATTGGAGGCTTGGTACAGCAAATGTGCTACATCGGAAAGCTGATAGTTGGTATTACAAAGTGATATCTCACCTTTACAGTCTTGCCAGATCCACCACACTGCGTGCATGTTGATTGCATTCTGAAGGGACCAGTTTGCAGAACCATCTGCCAGCATTAGATGAAAAACAAATAAGACACTAAGTATATTGATCAAAGGCATCTTGATAACTAAATAGAATATGCTGGAGGACGAACTAACATATCCAGAACCCCTGCAAGCTAGACAAGTTTCGGGTTTGGTTCCCGCAGGTACACCAGCTCCATCTAGAAGAAGCATGATGTTATCAGAAAAGGGAAAATGTGATTCAAAGACGACATTTAGTTACCAAAAAAATGCAGTTGGTAAATAGTAAAATACACGTGCGTATACATACTGCAGGTTTCGCATGTTACTAAAGTCTGGAAGTTGATTGTCTTTTTGCATCCTTCAACTGCTTCCATAAATGACAACTCAAGCTTAACCTGCAAAAGGATTACATGTAATTGCAATTCAAAGAGCAGAGCTATGACGGTCAAAGAAAATTAAATCTAGAAATAACCTTAACGTCCTGTCCACCAGATTCTCTATCTTTGAAGATGTTCCGGAGGAACTTCACAGCAAACAAAGACAGCAGAGATCAGATTAGATATGCTAGATTCATGAGATTTGAATACATAAAGCAACAGAAAATTCATCTGTTCAATGTAGAAACGGATCGAGAAATATTCCTATATGCTTAGCAAGCTAACTCGATGAGAGAGAGAGAGAGAGAGAGAGAGAGGAACCATCTGTGACATAAGAGGGTATGGCTGGTGCTTTAGGAGAGCATCACAAAAGAACCAGCCATATAAGGGGCTATCTAGTGTGTAATGATTAACACACAAATGCAGATGCTTAGCTCAAAGTAGCTCCGGAAACTGAAAATTGCGAAGATGAAAAGATTTTCCACACGATACTATTTCTGCTGAGTCAGAAACATACATAATAATGCTAAAAACGTGAGATTTGAAAAGAAGCAAAACCACCAAACTGGGACCTAAAATAAAAACAGTAGACAAGATTAATAACTCAGAAGATGACATACATCATTCATTCCGCCAGTACGACCAGCGTTGAAAATATCCTCAAAAGGATTTCCAAAACCCCCTTCGAATCCGCCAGCTCCACCACCTCCAGCAGCAGCCCTCTCATATTGATCAGGGCCAACCTGTAAAATCAGGCAAAGTTATCAATGTAGATTCCATGTTAGCATGAGATTCTGGCCAAGCTTTCCAGAATAAAAGGTTGGTGTTTTAATTGTTTGATGACTGTTGCAAATAGTGTAGGCAAACAAAAAATAGACAATTAGTCAAGTAGTATTTCTGTCTATTTATCATAATTTTCAAGCAATTAATTATTTGTACATCATGAACATACAAAAAAAACCATTGGCAGTCAAAGGAACGTAGACATGTATAATCAGAGGAATTAAATTGTACCTGATCATAGACCGCTTTTTTTTCTTCATCCTTCAAAGTCTACAGAGAAGAAGCGAAAAAATATATGTATCAATACTATTCAAAGCTGTATACCTTGAAATTGAGCATCCACGCTGAACAAAAAACAAGTACCTCATAAGCTTTCTGAACCTCTTGAAACTTTTTTTCTGCATCGGCATCGCCTTTATTTGTATCTGGATGGAGCTTCTTCGCAAGCTTTTAGAAGAAATCAAGAGTAGAAAATATAAGATGGTGAGGTAAATAACAAATTGCATGCCATTGAAAGTATGAACTATCTTACAGTGTAGCCTATAATAAAGAAAAGATAACTCAATTGCCACAGATATGATATAATAACTTGCAATTACTTTGTAATTAGGCACCAAGGAGACACCAGCCCCTCCACAAATATCAAACATCCTAAGGCCCTTTACTTCTGAAATCCTGTATGCTTAAAGAGTCCATGTAATTCTTATTTTCCGAAACATTTTTGGAAGTGTTTTTTCAGGTTGTTCAGCAGAGACCTGAACAAGTTTTGACAACACAAAACTCAGACAATATTACCACCAATAACAGGTGAATGGTGATCTGATTTCTGCGCATAAAACACATGATGAACTAATAACAGGTGAGCGATGATTCGATTTCTAAGCACAAGCTTTTGCCACCACATTTAGCGCATAATGTGTGTATTTCGCCTGGAGCATCTACCAACTAAAGTAACTACCCACAAGCAGCCTTCAAGTTCAGTCTTAGACAACACTAGGATTACAGTACAAGTGCCACACCCAGTTGTACTGAGCCATACCGCGTAATACGCCTTCTTGATCTCGCCCTGGCCGGCGTCCTTCCTCACACCGAGCACGTCGTAGTAGTCCCTCACCGCCACAGGCCTGGTCCCTGCACGCAGCCACAGACATCAGGGAAAGCTCACCCAACCGGGAACAAACGAGAACCACAACCGCCCATCGCCCTCACCGTGGAAGAACCTGCTCGGCGAGGAGAAGGGCGGCCTCCAGGAGGGCGGCGCGCGGGCCGCGTCGCCCCATCTAGCTGCGCGCAAGCACCAAGGGTCAGTTAATCAGGGGGGCGGCGGACTCCGGGAAATCGGGAGCGGCGGACTCACCTCTGTGCGCGCGGGAGGCGTGGAGGGAGGAGGAGCGGGCGGAGGAGGCGGCGGCGGTGGAAAG